AGCAGCAAAGTAATGAAGAGTCTTATAATTGTTCGTTTAAAAAGAAAGGGGAAACGGGGAGTAAGTTGGAAGTCAAGAATAACCCGTGGCTTCTTTCTTGAGCTGCAATTGATAGCATCTCCTCAACTCCAATTTTACATTGTTTGGCCCCCACCCAAAAAAAAAAAAAAAGAAGAAGAAAGAAGAAAAAGGAACGTATTTAGCTCGCGAGTCTCCACCACCCATCTGCGTTTAAGCTAATTATTATTTTTAAAACTTAATATCTGTCCATTGTCCGGGTATTGAATGTGAGGTTACACTCAAACGCCCATGACCTCCATCATTGTGAAAATAAACAAGTAAATATCACAAGGGAGAATCTAGTAACAATCGCTAGTAAACAAGAAGAATGACACAGGCAAAATTGGGGATGATTGCTCCAAAGCAACCAATACCATGGGGCCCATGCACATCACCTCAAACACGAGAAGTTCATACCACTTAAAATAGTGGCTAAATTAAAGTTCAAATCTTCACACGCTTATGTATTACTATAGTACTCCCCTCCGTTGTTAAATATAGCAGGCAGTTCCCAAAAACACGCAGATGAAAGAAATTTATCTATGTCTGATACATTTTGCCGCACCCACGAACAAAGAAAAAAGAAGAAAAAAGTGCGCCGCTGGTTCAAATAGTAATTTTGATTCTCTCATTGGGCTTATTTTACCCTCACAAAAGTATTATTCCCAATAAAATAATGTAAGATAACATTCAACAAATAATGACTTAACAGGAAATGAAAATAAGCACCGCCCTGTCCTCTGTAATGAAAATAAGCAAGATGGTGACTGAAACATAATGTCTTGAATAACAACTTCGCTCCTCATTCTGTTGACTCCAGCACTTTTTGTTCCTTAAGGAGCCGCTATCAAACAAATCGATAATGGGGCAAAATATATGCGACATTCATAGTCACGAGTTGTTTAACGTGGTCAAGTACGAACCTCAGATACGACAGATCCTTTGCCACGCAAAGAAGTCGGTTACGCAGGAAGATGGATAACTACTAAATCACCTAAAGCGGGAGAATTTCCCGTATATATTACCTCCTTATTTGATCATTCCTGGATTTCTATTCCAAGACAAGTAGGATGGATCCCCAAGAGGTCTGCATTATACCAATAAATATGGCAATGTCAGCTTCCACGTGCTTAACACACGGATCTATGCTTAAGCACGATCCCTCCCTGACAAAACAGAACAACCATTGGCTATTCCCGTGACCAGACAAGCATGATCTTTGCATAATAAGATCTTGATTTGGGTTTTTCAAGAAATTTGGACCCTCCAATCCCAACAATTTTCATGCTGAAATCTCAATTCATTTCCAATGCAAATAAGATTTGAACCTACAACATGCAGTAGCATAAAAGCATGGTGTACTTCAAGTGCAAGGTCTAATTGCTGCTTAGTACATCATTCCCAGAATGTACAAAATAGAGAAATAACCATAAAGTGAAGGACGAGCATGGTATTTCCTCACCTTGGCTTGAGCACATACATAAGTAAGAAGCCTACAGCGAAGAACAAGGACAGACCGCCAATAAAAATAAAAGCCAACCCCAAGAAATCGTTCTTTCCACCAATCCAAGTTGCGGTTGACAGAACCAGGGTCTTCTTGCCACCAAAAGAGTACGTGTTATAAATTGTTCTCAATCACTAGGAGCAGCTCATCATTAGCTTCAAGGTCGGTCTCGATCTTTCCATACAGTTTTCTGAAAGTGGACAATGCTGCTGTCCGCATCCAAACAATTAGATCCTCTTGTCCACTCAGCTGGTGAGAGTCATGCGACAAAGATTATTATTTATTTCTCTCAAAATGAAAAAACTGAAAATTGACAGACTATTTAGAAGCGAAAATATATTTACAGGTATGCTCTCGTTGAGTTTTGCACCCCCAATCAGATCTCCGGTCTGAAAATTTTTTGGGTAGACATCAGAACCAAATTTTTTGGTCTGATCACTCTGCCATGCTATGTTCTTTTTGCTTATCTCCAAATCCTTGTCCTTTACTTTTATTTTGTACGTGTCATTGAACAGACTCCAAGCTATGAGTCCGCAAGGGACAATCGGCTGACCATCTGGTGTTCTGGCTTCAGGTTTACAAGCGTCTGTATCCCCCTCAGCAGACCTTTCCCGCAGTTGATTGTCACTCTTACTTTTAACATATCTGCAAACATTTTTTCAGTATCCAAAATCAGGTAGGAATAAGAATTTCACCATTCAGCATAAACCGAAGGCAAGAAGAATTAGTAATTTTCTCAGCAGAAAATAATAAGATGCATGAGCATTGTATATAAAACAATATCTGTTTTGCTTTCATTTATTATATGAAGCCTGAATCAGGACAAAGCCTTCTGATAAAATATGAACATGACAGCTCATCAATGCACAAAACTGTAGAAAAGCAATATTCTCTGTAAGCTGTACATACCTGCGATGGTTCTGGAAGTAATTAGTTAGCTGATAGTAGACATAACTGGGGATTTCATTGTCTTTTCAACCTGTATTTTTGAACAAGTTACTTCCACGTAGATTGGATCCTCAATTATAAATTATAATAACAATCAAGGAAATGGAATAAGTAAATTGCTTTCAACCACATCAGCAATACAGGAACTGTACTAACTTTGCATGTCGCAGTGCATGTCTTGTTGGTAGTAGTGCTTTTAATATAAGCTTCTGCATTGTTACTATAATCAGGAGGAATGCATTGGTGGTCATACCGAAATGGCAGCTCCACAACCTGCGCCAAAGTGGTTTTTGTTCAAAATGAAATGATATTGAGCATTCATATCCCTTTGACACTAGGTACATAGAAAATCGTTTATACTACCTTTCTGATGCAGATAATGATGCGAGGCCAATTGGAATGAAAATGATTCCGGTAAAAGCAAATGTAGAAATGACCTGTAATACAAAGGTAAAATAGATTGACTACATAATACAGCATGTAAAAATCGGACGCCAAGACGGAAACTACTGTAAAGCTATACCCATCCTGGTGTTAGAATTGGTTTCCATGCAGGAAGTTCTTGCTGTGAAAATTTAGAATCTACAATCAATGAAACTTCTCATGAGAAAAATCACCAGTACCATTGCATGCAAGAAGACACCTAGACAATACAAATGCATATATCATGAGCATCAAATTTAACAAACCATAACAAATTGCTAAACAGAGGCATGCCAAGACAGTCCAATCCCTGTAGTTGAGAAAGGATCTTTCTCCAAAGATCACAAAAACCAGACAAAAAATGAAGGCTACATAGACAGGTAGGAGGACACGAACACGTTTCATATTAGGGCCATGATTTTGGAAAAAAAAACCTGAATGGATCTTAACATTTGCAAGATTCTAATTTTTGTACGTATATCGAAACCTGCTGCGAATAAAATTTCCCTCGGTAATACAAAAACCCCGAACAAAACCACATTTCATGATGCTCCCATTTCATACACCTAAAACACAAACAAAGAAATCTCCTCCGTGCAGAACACGATGACGAAAGAAGGAAAAAGTGGTTGGGCCAAGGGAAAACTCACATTTGGGTTCTTGGAATTCTTCTTGAAGAAGCACCCGATGATCCCTCTTTACCACCAGCCGAGCTCGTTGAAGTTTCCGGAGGCATAGGTGTGATTCCTCTGCCTAATGGAAGAGGGTCAATAGAAACAATCTGATCAAAGGTGAGGAACCAAAAATCAACAATTCGGCGCCAAAAAAACAGAAGCGAAAACTGCTTGACCCTTCTTTATAACTTTTTTCTCAAATGTCAGTTACAGTTACACGTTGTGGAATGAAACGCGATTTACCAGTGTAAAGGAAGCTTTGGGGAAAATGGAGGAGGGTAATGGAGCGTAGCAGAATTATAGAATACGGGAGAACCGTAGAATGACAGTGGTTTCGAACTGCAAGGTGGACCTTGTCACGAGCGAAACTACCGGTCTTCTCTTTTATTCCCGGTTATGAACTCGCTGGTCGTTGCCTAGGCTTAATTATTATCATTGTTATTATTTTGCCAACGGTTGCCCAGGCGTTATAGTTAGATATTACCATAAATAATAGTAATAGTAATTCAATTCTTTTTTCTTTTTTTTGGTTTTTTAATAGTCATTCAATTCATCCATTCCTTCGTGGATGACATTGGTGGGAAATTAAGCTGCTGTGCTCGCAGCCTGTAGGTCATTATATTAAATGATCCTTATTGGGCTTCTGGGCCTTGGCCCCAAAGTTCAATTCGACGTACCCTTTTTGGGACTGAACAATCCATCCATACCTCGGTAACAACAAAATAAAAATTCATGCATGCATAAGGTTTTGGTAAGCTTAGCTTGGCGTGATCGTGAATACTAATATTTTGATATGGTGTGTTCGGATCATAGAATAAATTTTTTCTTTAAAATATAAAATTGATTTCCTTAAATTGTGGTTTACAAGATTTATTAGACATTAATTTATAACAATTAATTATCATAAGCTTCTTTGAATACTCAAAAATAAGAGGGATATTCAGATCATTTTAACAAAATCCAGTTTGTTTCATTATTAAACAAGCACTAATTATAAAAGTCAAAACCATAATTTTCTTGAAAAATATATCCAAAAATGTCTTGTGAACATAAAAGAGAGGACTCACAAGAGAAAGGAGTTAAGAAATTTTGGAGAAGCATGAGAGTCACAGCATGCTGAAGGTCGTGAATTCAATGGAATTTTTATGCCTATTAAAAGAATGTATTATTTCCAATCAAAATAAGTTTTAATTAGATAACAGAAATTTTGGCCAAAAAGAAAAATAATAAACTCTGAATTAAATGGAATTTTTTGAAGATTAAAAAACAGTATGAACCACATATGAATGATAAAATAAATAAATTTCGTTCAACAAAAATTAATTTCAAGTTAGTTATTTATATTCATCTTTTTACCAAAAATTCATTTACTGAAAATAAACTTTGAAAGTTCATTAGTGATTTAATTTATGCAAATTGGTGTTTTTTTTAAAGAAAATTATGCAAGTTCATGAAAAGTTAAATAAGAGTATGCGTTTGAATAATACATTAAAAGATGCACTTTTCATAGAAGAAATCGTTTTTGGAAAAATGATAGGTTCTAAGAATTTTTAATTGAATCTGAAAATAGAAAAATTACATATTACTCCTCCTCCGGTTCTAATATAAAACCCACTTGTTGAGTTGATTTAGTTCTAAATATAAAACAATTTCTCATATTTATAAATTTCCTCTAAATTACTTTTATGGATACTTCTTCAACTATCATCAAGTAGAAAAGAAAGAAAAGATATTAAAAAAGATGATTATGATATTTTAAAAAAACATATCACATTTCTTATAATTAACCAATTATCTAACTTCTTAATCTAATCAAATTAGCTAAATATGTCTTATATTAAGACCGGAGGAGTATTTTATTTTTGACGAATTAATTATATGAAATTCATATACCAGAAAATAATTTTTTGCTTTCTTTTTTATTAAATTGTCTTTTTACGATTACATACACACACATACATGCTATGGTTACATTTTTGGAGAAGAAAATCTCACACTTGAGAAGCCATATGCAGGAACACGTGCATAATGAGTATATATTTTCCCGCAAAGTGGCGTGGATATTCAAAACTGGGCTTTCAAGATCAATTCCTGCAACTGTAACGTGAAGAGAGTGACAGCACAATGAGGTGGAAAGGAATATGTAACAACAAAATATAACTGGGTAAGCATGTAATCAAATCGGGTAAGCAATTTACTAATCCACAGAACACAGTCCCCAGATATATTTATTTACTCCAAACAACTAGAAACAGATATTGGAACATCGAAAGAGACCAGTGAGATGAATCATACTGAAGAACGGGAACTCGATCACGACCCCGTCAATCTTCTGCTAAACATATCAATATATTAGCATAAAATTTTGGTTCATTAAAATTAAAGGAGGCCCTAAACTTAAGGAAATACTCCCTCCTTCCTTTATTATAAGAGACCTTTAGTTTATTTATGGCATGTCCTATATATAGAGACACTAAAAAGTTGTTTCTATTTTTTTATGTTGATTTCCTATTTTTACCCATTTTTTATCTCTCCAACTCACACTCTCTCCCCCTCCCACTTCTCTTTGTTTTAATAATTTAATTGTTCTCTCACATGCTCTCTCTCCTTATTAATGAGGGTATTTTTGGAAAAAAAATTATACTTTTTACACATTAATTGTTTTTAACTAATTTTAACTATTTTTTGATCAACGTACTTCGATTATGTCTCTTATAATAAAGAACAGAGGGAGTAGTTAACTTCCTCACTCTGCTCACAATCCATGGGCATCAGGAAAATAAGAAATAAATAAAGACAAAAACAAAGAAACTTTCTTCAAATTCCCAGCCATCCAACAAAGGCGAGCTTCTATCGACTATCGCGTACAAAAGAACTCTTAAGAATCATTAAAAGACCCCATTGTTTCCATTTTCACTTGGCAATCTAACATGCAGCACGGGACATAAGAAACCCGAAACTAACAAGAAAAGCAGGAAACTCACCTCTGAGCTCATCTCGGTTTGTCTTTTTTAAATATTCTTACTAATTAAGTTTATTAGTTAAAATACTATTATTAAAAAGACCATTTAAAAATAAATAAATAAATAAAAATAATAAAATAGATTGAGATTTATATTTAAAACTTAAAAAAAAGTCAAATGATTTCTTATATATTACCTCCGGTCCTTAAATATAATATGATTCTACCCTCGGTCTTAATTATAAAATTTTGTTTGTAAACTATAAACAATATCTTATGATTAGAACCGGAGGTAATAAGAGTTAGTTTTATTTTTGTTTTATTTTAATCTTAAATATAAGATTTCAGTTTATTTTATCTTTCAATTTTTATTTTTTTAAGTTATTTCTTATGATAATGTTAGTTCTAGTTAATACATTTGATTAATAAAGATATTATAAAAATAATATTTATTTATTATAAATAACTAAATTAATTAATTTTTTTATTCTATACAAATTAGAACGGAAAAAGTAGTAGTACTTTGAACAGCATGCTAACCTTCGCGCTAAGGAAAAAAAAGAACGTTACACTTTCATTTTCAAAAAAAGAGCTCCCCTTCCTTAACTCCCACCGACTATGACGAAAAGCGCATTGGACCAAAAGATAACCGACTAACTTCCAAAGTCCACTTGCCCAGGCCTACAGACAATCCTACCATCATATATCTAACGGGAACAATAATACTACCAGTAAATAATTATAATTATTTGACCGAATAATAGTCCATAATTCAAAAATTATATATTTATCATTTAAAAATAAATAATTTAGTTATGTGATTTACTAATCAATATATCAATATAAAAGATTAAATCAGTCTGCTAAATCATGCATATAATTTGATGAAAAACCTGTTTTTTTTGTATTATTACAAGATTTATATATCTTTTATACCTTAAATGGATAATTAATAATGAAAATAAAACTAATTATAGGAAATTCTAGATTGAAAAATAATTATTTGTTCCGTGGTTTGAAAAAATTACATTTATAAGAGACGCCTCCAATGTCTTTGCTAAACTCCTATTTGACGGACATTAAATTAATCATATTAATATTGTTGCACTTATTATCAAAATAAATTGTTCGAGTGGTAATTCTGCCTCCCCATTAAAAAAAGAATTTTTCAAAAAAAAAGGTTACATTATTTTATATATTATTTAGCTCATTTTATAATCATTTGTGATTCTAGTGAATTGTCTTTTGTAAAAAGAGGAGTACTATTAATTACTTGTTTCGTCTTATATCGACTACGCACAACAAAAGATTAAACACAGAGACTTGGAGGCGGAAAAAAAGGAAAAAAAAACTCTAAAATCATGAAGAATGCAAGCTAAAACCATGGAACATACCTTTCATGTATATAATCTTCTTCTAGATTCCTTTCATAGCCTTCGATTACGGCAAAGTCGTTTGAAACTCTACACAAAGAAATATGGTAGATGAGTTCACAAAACCCATCGACTAGATTATGGAATATTAAAGAAACAATTGCATATGTTTGGACATTAACGAACTCAAGACAATCTTAGAAAAAAGAGTCACAAAAAATTGAACAAATAAAGCATAGTCCCAGGGTTCCCAAATGCTACACTCGGACCATAAATGCATAAACCTTTCGTTCTGATTGTAAGACCTCGTTTATAGTTTATAAACAATATCTTATAATTAGGACTGGAGATAATATTATAGTAAAATAGGTGATCTCAAGCAGCAACCCCAAGTCAGAGTCAAAAAAAGGGCAAATTGCTTGGGTTGCCTTTATTATCATAGGCAATAGTCTTTTCGAGAGGATGATACCCTAATAACCATATTGTTTTGTTTTAAGCAGGTATAAATGGGGAAAATACCCAGATACAAAAGGCTAGCTAACCAAAGGAAGATACAGGTCTCAATTTTCACAACATTTTTATTCTGAATTCCATATTGAAAACTATAAAAGGCATTTGGGGGGAAAAAAGGACTGTTAAGGCGTTCGGAGTGCAATTTACCACCAGAAATTAGATATTGCCGAATGGGATATCTTTTCCAGAAAGTTTGAATTAACTTCATGCTTCAGAGCAAATATCAAGAAGGTAAACTAGATACAGCTTGGGAGTATGGACTGAAGTAATTACATACCAAAAAGGTAAAAACAACAAAACAATACCTTTTACAGGAGAATTCGATCATGCAGACTGAATTTGTGGGCTTTTCCACAATTTTCAATTCGGCGTTGACTCAAGAATTCAGCACGACCACGCCCTCCTCTCATCTGCCCAGCTTGCCATATGTAGAATTCTCCTTCCCTGAATTTTCATACCTACGTGAAATTATAATGCCAATACCACATTTCGATGAGGAAAACTTAAGTTTAACATTGGCAGTCAATTACAATGAAAACCAAAAGCTTGTCAAGTCAGACAGCCATACAGACACTAGGTAGGGTTCCTTATGACCTATAAATAGACAGCTCGCTCAAATTCCCTGAAATGCGATTTTAGCCTACAATATCTACAAATAGTCAGAAACAGATAAATTTCCCCCAAAAAAAAAACAACAGAAAAAAATTTATCACAAGTCCTGACAATCACATCATGTAATATTTTGGAAGAATCCCCCACATATTTTCAAAAGCGGAAGAATTTGTGCTTGAAGTGCAACATGAAAAACCCTCCAGGTGGGCAGCTTGAATAGATATTATTGCAGACATGTTAACTATTACGGGTAAAAAGATTTAATGTAAACAAAACAAGGCCGCAGAAATTACAAATATACTTAAAATCACCATCCATAAAGACGCCTTAAAGAATTGCAGAAAGCTCCACATAAAAGCAACACTCCTATTGCCAAGGGAGGATCAAGAGTGCTCTGTCAAAGAACGGAAAACAAGAATGCTTAAGAACAAGTACAATAGCTAAATGGATAGCGTTCAACAAACCAAAGAAACAAGCATGTTGCATTAGTAAGACAAAAAATTTAGCACCAGCTAAAATCTTAATAGATCCTACAGACAATGTCTGTCATATAAATCAAGAAAATAAATAAAACAGCTTTGAGAGTCTAACCAGATAACAACCAAATTAGAAACATGCAGGAGCTTTAATATGATATAAAGTCATGTCATCAAATACGATAAAAAGCTCTTCAGAGTCAGTATTTTATTTACATAAAGAAGCAAGTATCAGATATAGAAATTTAAATTATAATAAGCTGATGGCAATGTCTTTAATTATCATTTATACCATAAAATTTATACAAAATTTTAAGTCCAACTAGCATAGGCAAATTTAATTGAAACATGTACCCCCAGGAAAAAAAACGTTCATCTTGAATAGGCATGCAACAAAAATAACTCACTAAAGGAAATCCAAAATGACAGTGGAATTATCGGACACATGACACGGTTACACTAAATGTCAATGACAGTCATAGCATATAAAAAGAAAAGATATAAAAGGCAAGCCTGCAAAACAAGTGTGGCACCAAAAATGGGCATTGCGCCAGAGTCCACACCACCACCTTTGAAATAACAAATCTCCTAACAATCCAATAGCGAAACGCAGCTCCAGCCAGGATAATCCCCACTAGTACAAAACCTGCAAGCGGTGAACCAATTAGGGGAGAGGAAAGAGCATCTGAATTATAATAACTTGTGTTTCCAGCCCAATAAAAGTAGCCAGCACCTAGCAAGAGTTACACGGTATGAACAAAATAAACCATCTCAAAGGTGGGAGGTGGAAAACGATAGCTAAAGGATAAAATCTAATAACCTATAGAATGGATCCGGTTTAGCTTGGTCCAGAATATTAAATTTCCATACTTTGATTATAGAAAATTATTTCCACATTCTAGCATATGCTTTTCTATTGATCTCACAATATTTTTAGCAAACCCAAAGAAAGAAATTAGCATTTCTGAAAAGATATTTCCATAAAACAAAGCCCAAGGGATCCAGAAGCTACCTCCCAGAATTTATGAATAACAATTGTAACGTAAGGGTGATATTATTAATTTACGGACTGTTACAAGAATACAACAGATTAAGTCAAATGGAAAATAGAGTTTAATGAATATATACGTATTTGTGATTACATAGGTTCTTAGTTTAAGCTACAGACAGTGACTGTATTTTATTCTAGATCAAGATATGCATACACAATACAATTCACAGTGACCTCCTTTAGGCAAGCCATGTGTAGCACCAGCCCAACACAAAGAATATTCTGCACACTGAATATCTATATACAAGTAATGAAGAATAAACAGACCTGAAATAGAGAAACTAAATGCTAATTCATCCAAAGTCAGAAAGAATTAATAATGTGTCAAATTCCAATTATTGTCATCACTTGAGCAAAGAATTACATGCAAAAGTTCATATGAATCTTGGAAGAAAAAAAGGCAAAAAGGTTTCACGTTCAGAAAATGCATATGAACTCAACGCATTTGCTTTAATGTAGGGAAAAAGATCTTAAACAGATAAATATTCACAACATTATCCAAAAATCTTACTGGATTGTGTACCTCTTCGCTCAGCCCAGAACTATGAAGAATTGAATTTAAGACAGAAGTGAAGCAAAAGGAAAGACCCAGCTTCAAGCTGAAACGACACGTGGTAATAACATCAGCACCTATTTTAAATGATAAGAAATACCATCAATTGCTAATTGTTTTTATCAAACATGAGAACCTGCTGCTGATCAACAAAGGCCAGGACTAATGCAAACTCACCACTGACCCAGATATGGCATGGCAATGTAAAAGACGTTTTTTTCTTCCGGTTGGCAACAATTTCATGCCCTACACTCGTAATAAGAACAAGTTAGTAAGCAGATAAATAAAAGACCAATGTAAACCTAACTAAATTGACAAAACGTTAAACTAGATACCTGAAAAAGAAGGATTATAATAACAAGACTCCTAGAGCCATCGAACTGCTGTGATAAAATGGAACCCAACCGCTACTAATGGGAGCCAACAACAATAGTATGAATCCCAGTGTCAGACACACAAGTCGCCGATTGCTGAAAATCTCCAGAGTATATAATGCCATGAGAGGATAGATGGTTAAAAACACAACAGATAGGAGCAGAATAATAGGCACAAAATGTTAAGATAAAGAAACAAACCTTCTTCAAGAGCAGCTGCCAAGGAAACTGGTACTTCATCGCTGAATCTCACATCAATATATCTTTTCTCATATGGAGAAATGACAACACTCCACATCCCCTTCTGGACAGCTCTAAATCTGGCCTTTTCACACTGGCACCATCCAAGTGACTTATTCCTGCATGTTATCCACAAGTGAGTAGTGACAATCTTCGCAAACTTTGTAATTTGAAGTTAATTGAGTAAAAATGAAAATTAACAAGGACTTGGTTCTCTGACAAAATTTTACAATTGAAAACTAGAGGTGAAGATTTATTCAAATATTTTTTGTACAAGTGAATTACAGTATGTTAAAGCAAAATGGAGAAAACCATGAAAATCAAGAAGACTTCAATCTCAGAGATCCCGCAATCTGCAAGGTTTACAATCAATTGTTAGGGTAATTTTTTCCATGAGATAAATATAAATGTTGTATTCTGGTAAAAACCTATAAATAGGCTTCATGGGAAAATTTTTTACAAAAACATGGCCATAGGAGAATAGGGAAAAATAAAAGTTAGAGATGTCTTTCTTAAGATGAATCACATATGATACCTAACAACAAAATTGCAAATCATGATAAAAGATGAAGTATCCGCCACTTAACCACTACAAGTAGACAATCTTTATAAATGCACATACCTATACAAAAATGACAAGGTATATTAGAAAAAAATGTTTCGCCACTTCAAACGCATAACAAACTCTTTTTTTCAACAAGAAACAATTGATGCATTAAGTGGAAGAGGCATGATACTCCTTAAGGAGGTTTAAAAGCAGCTATGTAGATAGGAGGAAACAATGAGAAGCCACCCCATTCTTCTTCTCGTTTTTCTTTTTGGATAAAGTAACAAACAATCCTTACGTTAAAACGATTGCACTTCAATGTGGAAAAAAACCCAATCCTTGGCATTGAGTGGTTCAAATCCTTCGGTTTTATAAACTAGAAGCAACAAGACATGAAAAATCAAACAAAGGAGAAGAAGATGTGCCTGAAAGGAGATCTCACCCGTCGATAACCATTTTGTCCATACAAGCAATGAAGTACCCCATCAACAAGGGAGGTACAGTTTCCCGAGAACTTTGGGAAATGACAGTAAAGGAACTCACAGATCCCAATATCCCATGAGCAATTTAAGAATGGCCCAAGGATTACATGATCGTCTGTGAGAAACCGGAAGGATTACTCCCAACCCGGTTAGGACAGCACCTTTGCTTAAGCAGGATTAGTCAATCCATCCTCTACTTGAATTGTCATTACCCCAAACTAAACACGGAATACTTAACCTCCACTTGTCACAGACTAATCACAGCCTTACTAGACAAAAGGTTATTAGACAAGATAATATCATCCTCACGCACACACCTTTCCATTTGCTTTGAATTTCATAGTCAGTTGTCACTAGCTTGCTTTCACCTCTTCGAAGATTGAATCTACTCAATGTCAAGAAAAGCAACAACCCCTCACAATAAGAAAGCGTGAAAAATCCAAGTAAAAACAATTTTTTGATAAATTAATAAACAATTCTTATGGTAAAAGAATTACAATTCAATGTGGAGAAAACTCAAGCATTGGTATTTAATGGTTCAAATCCTTCGGTTGTGTAAACTCGAGGCAACAAGACATGAAAAATCAAACAAAGGAGAAGATGATGCGCCTGAAAGGAGATCTCACCCGTCAATAACCATTTTGTCCATACAAGCAATGAAGTACCCCATTAACAAGGGAGGTACAGTTTCCTGAGAAATTTGGAAAATGACAGTAAAGGAACTCACAGATCTCAATATTCAACGGGCAATTTAAGAATGGCCCAAGGATTACATGATCATCTGTGAGAAACCGGAAGGATTACTCCCAACTCATTAAGGACAGCACCTTTGCTCATGCAGGATTAGTCAATCCATCCTCTACTTGAATTGTCATTACCCAAATTAAACACAGAACACTTGACCTCCACTTGTCACAGACTAATCATAGCCTCACTAGACAAAAGGTTATTAGACAAGATAAGATCATCCTCACGCACACACCTTTCTATTTGCTTTGAATTCCATAGTCAGTTGTCACTAGCTTGCTTTCACCTCTTCGAAGATTGAATCTACTCAATGCCAAGAAAGAACCAAGCATTTTATTTTAAGGGGTAAAAAAGCTCTTTAGAGTCATTATTTTATTTTTCAGAAATAAGCAAGCACCGAATACAGAAATTTAAATTATATAATCAGCTGATAGCAATGTCTTTATTTAATCGTAATACTATACAATGTATACAAAATTTGGAATCCAACTATCATGGGCAAGTTTAATTGTAACTTGTATCCACAAACAAAAATATGTTCATCTTGGAATGGCTGCAACAAAAATAAGTCATTCAAGGCAATCCAAAATCTAAGTGAAATCATCAAATATTTAACACGGTGGCATTAAATGCCAGTGATAGTCATAGCAGATGCAAAGAAAAGTTATAAAAGGCAAACTTGGAAGATAAATGTAGTACCAAGGATGCGCGTTGCTCGTGTTTCCAGCCTAATAAAAGTTGCCAACAACTAGCAAGAGTAACACAGTATAAATGAGATAAACCATCTCAGAGGTGGCAGGTGGAAAACAACAGCCAAAGGATAAGATCTAATTGCCCAGAGACCGGAGGTTGAGCTTGGTCCAGAATATTACATTTGATACTTTAAAAAGAGGAAATTATTTCCACATTCTAGCATATGTTTTTCTATTTATCTCACAGTATTTTTTACTGACCCAGACAGAGAAATTAGCATTTCTAAAAAGGTATTACCCTTAAAACAAAGCCCAGGAGATCAAAAGCTACCTCATGGAATTTATGAATACCAATAGCAATTTAAGGTAGATGTTAATAATTTACTGACTGTTACAAGAATGCGACAGATTACATCAAATGGAAAATGGAGTTTAATGAATATTTCAAATTTCTGATTGCATGGGCTTTAAGGTTAAGCTAAGCGAGTGTATTTTATTCTAGATCAAGATATACATACAGAATACAATTCACAGTGACCTCCTTTAGACAAGCCATGTGAAGAACCAGCCCAACACATAGAATATTCTACACACTGAATATCTGTACACAAACAATCAACAATAAACATGCCTATACAAGAGAAGTACTATATTTATCCATCCTAAGTGAGAAAGAACTAGTAATGTGTCAAATTCCAATTAGTATCATCATTTGAGCAAATAATTACACACAAAAGTTCGTATAGGTCTTGGGGGGAAGGCAAAAAGGTTTCAGGTTCTGAAATGCATATATGACTCAATCCATTTGCTTGAATATAGAACAAAAGATCTTGACAAAAAAAAAATATCCACAACATTATCCAAGAATCTTACTGGATCGTGCATCTCTTCACTCAGCCCAAAATTCTAAAGAATTGAATTTATGAAAACAGAGAAGTGGTGCAAAAGGAAAGACCCAGCTCCAAGCTGAACCACATGTAGTAATAACATCAGCACCTTTTTTAAATAATAAGAAATAACATCACTTGTCAATTTTTTATTAAACATGGAGACTTGATGGTGATCAACAAGGCCATGATTAAGGCAAGCTCACCACATATCCAGATATGGCAAGGTAAAAGATATTTTTTCTTCCGGTTCGTGACAATTTCATGCCCTGCATTCACGATAAGAACAAGTTAGTAAGCAAATAAATAAAAGCGCAACGTAAACCCGGCTGAATGTGACACAAGATTAAACTAGATACCTGAAAAAGAAGGATTATAATAACAACACTCCTATGGCCATTGAACTGCTGTAATAAAATGGAACCTCACTGCCAATAATGGGAGCCGACAACGATAGGATGAATCCCAATGCCAGACACACAAGTCACCGTTGCTGAAGCCCTAAGAATCATTAAAAGACCCCCATTGTTTCAATTTTCACTCGACAATCTAACATGCGGCATAGGATATAAGAAACCCGAAACTATCATGAAGAGGAAAGCAGGAAACTCACCTTTGAGCTCAATCTCGTCATTGCCAGTTCAAAATGCCGACCAATTAATAAAGACGAAAAACAGAACATGAAAGAGCCCCAAGGCTTTGGAGTGAAGTCCAGAGTCCTGGTTTCTTCTACGCGGGAAACGAGAATGGGTACGCTAACCTCGCTTTGTCGCTTCGATTTAAGCTCGAACGGTACGCTAACGGCTAACCTTCGCGCTAGTTGCTTGTAAAAAAAAAAAAAAAAAACCTTCGCGCTGATAAAACGCGCGCGCACGAAAAGAGAAAAGGTCCTCCCTTACTTAAATCCCACCGCCTTGAATGAAAAGCCCATTGGACCCAAATGACAACCTAATAGCTTACGTGGTCCACATACCCTGGCCTTATGATTATTTGAGTGAGTAGGACTTAGCCCCGCTCTGTCGGTTCGATTGCTTGAACAGTACGCTAAAGGCTAACCGTTGCGTTAATGAAACGCAAAACATCACACTTGCGCAAAAAAAAAATTTCTTTCTTAAATCCCACCGACTTGAACGAAAAGCCCATTGGACCCAAAAGACAACCCAATAGCATACATAGTCCACGTGTCCTGGCCTACGGACAACCCTGCCCTCAGTTTTATTTTTTATTTTTATGTATATATATAATATAATTATAATTATTTGAATTATTTGCACGAATTTTGGGAGGACATTTGAATGAACTGAATTAAAACGAATAATATCCCATAATTTTTAACCGAATAATGGTCCATAATTTATATATATATTAAAAAATTAGTTATGTGATTTATTGATAAATATATCAATAATTTGACGAAAAACTTTTTTATGTGTTTAAAAAAATATAATATTTTATTATTATAAATTATATATCTTTTACATCTTCAATGGAGAATTGATAGTAAAAATATAACTAATTGTAGGAAATTCTATATTGAAAAGTAATTATTTGTTTCTTTTTATGAGAGACGGTTTCCGGTATGACTTGTTTGTGTTTATGGCAAAATCACATGGAGGCTGCCTCCAACTTTTTTCCTGCTAAACTCTTAATTTGCCTTTAGTTAGTTAATTATTTTAATATTAATATATTTATTAACAAGGCAAATTATTCACGTGATGTCCTCTCTCTCCTCGTAAAAAATATACTCATCTGGTCCTTAATATATGACCTAATTGTTGAGTTAATTTCAATCCTAAATATAAGACTTATTTTTCATATTTATCAATTTTTTTTAAATTATTTCTATGGATACTCTTTCAGCCATGATTAAGTAGGAGAGGGAGAGAGGATATTAAAAAAGATGATTATGATATTTTAAGAAAAGCATATCATATTTCTTATAATTAACTAACTTACCTAACTTTTTTAATCTAATCAAATTAGTTAAATAAGTCTTATATTAAGGACCGAATGAGTACTTTTAAAAAGTTATATTTTTTCACATGTCGATAATGTAACTAATTTTAAGCAATTTTTTTATCAAGGTGATCCGGGGAATTATCTCTTATGAAGAGTAGGAGAGGGAATACCATTTTATTATTTATTTCATCTTATACTACATCTAATCTTAAATATAAGAGCTAGTTAGATATTCAAATTGATTTTAAATATAAGACACTAACTCACTTTATCTTTTATAATTATTATTTTTCTCCAAATTAGTTCTCATAGTGATTACATGTGTTAACCGATTTTTACTTTAAGGCATATAGTTAACAAATATATTTTTATAAAAAAACAACTCATACTTAGTACGAATAATAAGTTAACTTATTTTCTTAATATTTCCAAGTCAGTTATGTGGCTATTAACTACTAGAGGTTGTATTGAATTTGCGCGACACCAAAATAGAACAAAGATTAAATAACCACACAGGGGGACTTTAAAAAACAAACTCTGTAATTATAAAGACTGCAAGCTAAAACCATCAAATATACCTTTCGCATGGGTATATCTCCTCCCAGATTCCGTGGGGTGTAAATTGCCATCATAGATATGTGCCCAAGAGATCATGACAATCACACTCTGAAGCAACCTTATTATATTTTGGCATGCTTGGAGCAAAAGAACTCTAAAACCATGAAGAATGCAAGCTAAAGCCATGGAATATTGCGTAATGGGATATCTTTTCCAGAAAGTTAGAATTAACTTCATGCTTCAGAGCATATATCAAGAAGGTAAATTAGATATTGCTTTGGAGTACGGACAGAAGTAATTTCATACCGGAAAGGTAAAAACAATAGAACAATACCTTTTACAGGAGAATTCGACTGTGCAGACTGAATTTTTGGGCTTTTCCACAATTTTCAATTCGGGGTTGACTCAAGAATTCAGCACGACCACGCCCTCCTCTCATCCGCCCAGCTTGCCATTTTTAAAATTCTCCTTCCCTGAATTTTCATACCTACGTGAAATCATAATGCCAATACCACATTTCGATGAGGAAAACTTAAGGTTTAACATTGGCAGTCAATTACAATGAAAGCCAAAAGCTGGTCAAGTCATACAGCCATACAGACACTAGGTAAGGTTCCTTATGACCTAAATAGACAGCTTGCTCAAATTCCCTGAAATGCAATTTTTGGCCTACAATATCTACAAATAGTCAGAAACAGATACTGAGCATCAAAGAATTTCCCCCAAAAAGAAACAACAGAAAAAAAGTTATCACAAGTCCTGACAATCACATCATGTAATATTTTGGAAGAATCCACCACATATTTTCAAAAGGAGAAGAATTTGTGTTTGAAGTGCAACATGTAAAACCCTCCTGGTGTGCAGCTTGAATAGATATTATTGCAGACATGTTAACTATTACGGGTAAAAAGATTTAACATAAACAAAACAAGGCCGCAGAACTTACAAATATACTTGAAATCACCATCCACAAAGACGTCTTAAAGAACTGCAGAAAGCTCCACATAAAAGCAACTCTCCTATTGCCAGGGGAGGATCAAGAGTGCTCAGTCAAAGAATGGAAAACAAGAATGGTTAAGAACAAGTAAAATAGCTAAATGGATAGTGTTCAACAAACCAAAGAAACAAGCATGTTGCATTAGTAAAATAAAAAATTTAGCACCAGCTAAAATCTTAATAGATCCTACAGACAATGTCTGTCATATAAATCAAGAAAATAAATGAAACAGCTCTGAGAGTCTAACCAGATAACAATCAAATTAGAAACATGTAGGAGCTTTAATATGAGATAAAGTCATGTCATCAAATACGATAAAAAGCTCTTCAGAGTCAGTATTTTATTTACATAAAGAAGCAAGTATCAGATATAGAAACTTAAATTATACAATAAGCTGATAGCAGTGTCTTTATTCATCTTTTAAACCGTAAAATTTATACAAAATTTTAAGTCCAACTAGCACAGGCAAATTTAATTGAAACATGTACCCCCAGGGAAAAAAAAAGTTCATCTTGAATAGGCATGAAACAAAAATAACTCACTAAAGGAAATCCAAAATGGCACTGAAATTATCGGACACATGACACGCTTGCTCTAAATGTCAATGACAGTCATCTCATATAAAAAGAAAAGATATAAAAGGCAAGCCTGCAAAACAAGTGCGGCACCAAATATGGGCATTGCGCTAGAGTCCACACCACCATCCTTTGAAATAACAAATCTCCTAACAATCTTATAGCCAAACGCAGCTCCAGCCAGGATAATCCCCACTAGTGCAAAAGCTGCAACCGGTGAACCAATCAGGGGAGAGGAAAGAGCATCTGAATTATAATAACTTGTGTTTCCAGCCCAATAAATATAGCCAGCAACTAGCAAGAGTTACATGGTATGAACAAAATAAACCATCTCAGAGGTGGGAGGTGGAAAATAATAGCTAAAGGATAAAATCTAATTAGCTATAGAATGGATCCGGTTTAGCTTGGTCCAGAATATTAAATTTCCATACTTTGATTAGAGAAAATTATTTCCACATTCTAGCATATGCTTTTCTATTGATCTCACAATATTTTTAGCAAACCCGAAGAAAGAAATTAGCATTTCTGAAAAGATATTTCCATAAATCAAAGCCCAAGGGATCCAGAAGCTAACTCACGGAATTTAAGAACATCAGTTGTAACGTAAGGTTGATATTATTAATTTACTGACTGTTACAAGAGTACAACAGATCAAATCAAATGGAAAATGGAGTTTAATAAATATACACGTATTTCTGAGTACGTAGGTTCTTAGTTTAAGCTACAGACAGTGACTGTATTTTATTCTAGATCAAGATATGCATACAGAATACAATTCACAGTGACCTCCTTTAGGCAAGCCATGTGTAGCACCAGCCCAACACAAGGAATATTCTGCACATTGAATATCTGTATGCAAGTAATGAAGAATAAACAAACCTGAAATAGAGAAACTAAATGCTAATTCACCCTAAGTCAGAAAGAATTAACAATGTGTCAAATTCCAATTATTGTCATCACTTGAGCAAAGAATTACACACAAAAGTTCATATGGATATTGGAAGAAAAAAAGGCAAAAAGGTTTCAGGTTCAGAAAATGCATATGAATAACGTAGGAAAAAAGATCTTAAACAGATAAATATTCACAACATTATCCAAAAATCTTACTGGGTTGTGTATCTCTTCACTCAGGCCAGAACTCTAAAGTATTGAATTTAAGACAGAGAAGTGGAGCAAAAGGAAAGACCCAGCTTCAAGCTGAAACGACTTGTAGTAATAACATCAGCACCTACTTTAAATTACAAGAAATAACATCAATTGCTAATTGTTTTTATCAAACATGAGAGCCTGCTACTGATAAACAAAGGCCAGGACTAATGTAAACTCACCACCAATCCAGATATGGCATGGCAAGGCAAAAGACATTTTTTTCTTCCGGTTGGCAACAATTTCATGCCCAGCACTCATAATAAGAACAAGTTAGTAAGCACATAAATAAAAGACCAATGTAAACCTAACTGAATTGACACAGCATTAAACTAAATACCTGAAAAAGAAGGATTATGATAACAAGACTCCTAGAGCCATGGAACTGCTGTGATAAAATGGAACCCAACTGCTACTAATAGGAGCCAACAACAATAGTATGAATCCCAGTGTCAGACACACAAGTCGCCAATTGCTGAAAATCTCCAGAAATATATAATGCCATGAGAGGATAGATGGTTAAAAAAACAACAGATAGGAGCACAATAATATAGCACAAAGTGTTAAGATGAAGAAACAAACCTTCTTCAAGAGCAGCTACCACGAAACGTAGTATTTCATCTCTGAATCTCACATCAATATATCTTTTCTCATATGGAGAAATAACAACACTCCACATCCCCTTCTGGACAGTTCTAAATCTGGCCTTTTCACACTGGCACCATCCAAGTGAATTATTCCTGCATGTTATCCACAAGTGAGTAGTGACAATCTTCGCAAACTTTGTAATTTGAAGTTAATTGAGTGAAAGTGAAAATTAACAACGAGGAGTTGGTTCTCTGACAAAATTTTACAATTAAAAAATGGAGGTGAAGATTTATTCAAATATTTTTTGTACAAGTGAATTACAGTATGTTAAAGCAAAATGGAGGTAACCATAAAAATCAAGAAGACTTCAATCTCAGAGATCCCGCAATCTGCAAGGTTTACAATCAATTGTTAGGGTAATTTTTTCCATGAGATAAATATAAATGTTGTATTTTGGTAAAAACCTATAAATAGGCTTCATGGGAAAAATTTTTACAAAAACATGGCCATAGGAGAATAGGGAAAAATAAAAGTTAGAGATGTCTTTATAATACCTAACAACAAAATTGCAAATCATGATAAAAGATGAAGTATCCGCCACTTAACCACTACAAGTAGACAATCTTTATAAATGCACATACCTATACAAAAATGACAAGGTATATTTAAAAAAATGTTTCGCACCTTCAAACATATAACAAACTCTTTTTTTCAACAAGAAACAATTGATGCATTAAGTGGAAGAGGCATGAAACTGCTTAAAGAGCTTTAAAAACAGCTAAGTAGATGGGGGGAAACAATGAGAAGCTACCCCATTCTTCTTCTCTCTCTTTTTTTTTTGGATAAAGTAACAAACAATCCTTACATTAAAACGATTGCACTTCAATGTGGAAACAAACCAAATCCTTGGCATTGAGTGGTTCAAATCCTTCGGTTTTGTAAACTAGAAGCAACAAGACATGAAAAATCAAACAAAGGAGAAGAAAATGTGCCTGAAAGGAGATCTCACCCGTCGATAACCATTTTGTCCATACAAGCAATGAAGTACCCCATCAACAAGGGAGGTACAGTTTCCTGAGAACTTTGGGAAATGACAGTAAAGGAACTCACAGATCCCAATATCCCATGAGCAATTTAAGAATGGCCCAAGGATTACATGATCGTCTGTGAGAAACCGGAAGGATTACTCCCAACCCAGTTAGGACAGCACCTTTGCTTAAGCAGGATTAGTCAATCCATCCTCTACTTGAATTGTCATTACCCCAAACTAAACACGGAAAACTTGACCTCCACTTGTCACAGACTAATCACAGCCTTACTTGACAAAAGGTTATTAGACAAGATCATCCTCACGCACACACCTTTCCTTTTGCTTTGAATTTCAAAGTCAGTTGTGACTAGCTCTCTTTCACCTCTTCGAAATTGAATCTACTCAATGTCAAGAAAAGCAACAACCCCTCACAATAATAAAGCGTGAAAAATCCAAGTAAATAAACAATTTTTTGATAAATTAATAAACAATTCTTATGATAAAAGGATTACAACTCAATGTGGAGAAAACTCAAGCATTCGCATTTAATGGTTCAAATCCTTTGGTTGTGTAAACTGGAGGCAACAAGACATGAAAAATCAAACAAAGGGGAAGATGATGCGCCTGAAAGGAGATCTCACCCGTCAATAACCATTTTGTCCATACAAGCAATGAAGTACCCCATTAACAAGGGAGGTACAGTTTCCTTGAGAAATTTGGAAAATGACAGTAAAGGAACTCACAGATCTCAATATCCCACTGGCAATTTAAGAATGGCCCAAGGATTACATGATAATCTGTGAGAAACCGGAAGGGTTACTCCCAACCCGGTCAGGACAGCACCTTTGCTTAAGCAGGATTAGTCAATCCATCCTCTACTTGAATTGTCATTACCCCAAACTAAACATGGAAAACTTGACCTCCACTTGTCACAGACTAATCACAGCCTCACTAGACAAAAGGTTATTAGACAAGATAATATCATCCTCACGCACACACCTTTCCATTTGCTTTGAATTTCATAGTCAGTTGTCACTAGCTTGCTTTCACCTCTTCGAAGATTGAATCTACTCCATGTCAAGAAAAGCAACAACCCCTCACAATAATAAAGCGTGAAAAATCCAAGTAAATAAACAATTTTTTGATAAATTAATAAACAATTCTTATGATAAAAGGATTACAACTCAATGTGGAGAAAACTCAAGCATTCGCATTTAATGGTTCAGATCCTTTGGTTGTGTAAACTGGAGGCAACAAGACATGAAAAATCAAACAAAGGGGAAGATGATGCGCCTGAAAGGAGATCTCACCCGTCAATAACCATTTTGTCCATACAAGCAATGAAGTACCCCATTAACAAGGGAGGTACAGTTTCCTGAGAAATTTGGAAAATGACAGTAAAGGAACTCACAGATCCAATATCCCACTGGCAATTTAAGAATGGCCCAAGGATTACATGATAATCTGTGAGAAACCGGAAGGATTACTCCCAACCCGGTCAGGACAGCACCTTTGCTTAAGCAGGATTAGTCAATCCATCCTCTACTTGAATTGTCATTACCCCAAACTAAACACGGAAAACTTGACCTCCACTTGTCACAGACTAATCACAGCCTCACTAGACAAAAGGTTATTAGACAAGATAATATCATCCTCACGCACACACCTTTCCACTTGCTTTGAATTCCATAGTCAGTTGTCACTAGCTTGCTTTCACCTCTTTGAAGATTGAATCTACTCAATGCCAAGAAAGAACCAAGCATTTTATTTTAAGGGAAAACAAGCTCTTTAGAGTCACTATTTTATTTTTCAGAAATAAGCAAGCATCGAATACAGAAATTTAAATTATATAATCAGCTGATAGCAATGTCTTCATTTAATCTTTAATACTATACAATTTATACATAATTTGAAGTCCAACTAGCATAAGCAAGTTTAATTGTAACTTGTATCCACAAACAAAAACATGTTCATCTTGGAATGGCATGCAACAAAAATAAGTCACTCAAGACAATCCAAAATCTAAGTGTAACCATCAGATTTATAACACGGTCACATTAAATGCCAGTAATAGTCGTAGCATATGCAAAGAAAAGATATAAAAGGCAAACTTGCAAAATAAATGTAGTACCGAGGATGCGTGTTGCTTGTGTTTCCAGCCTAATAAAAGTTCCCAGCAACTAGCAAGAGTTACACAGTATAAACGAGATAAACCATCTCAGAGGTGGAAGGTGGAAAACAATAGCCAAAGGATAAGATCTAATTACCCATAGACTGGAGGTTGAGCTTGGTCCAGAATATTAAGTTTGATACTTTAAAAAGAGGAAATTATTTCCACATCCTAGCATATGTTTTTCTATTTATCTCACAATATTTTTTACTGACCTAGACAAAGAAATTAGCGTTTCTGAAATGATATTTCCCTTAAAACAAAGCCCAGGAGATCCAAAAGCTACCTCACGGAATTTATGAATACCAATAGCAATTTAAGGCAGATGTTAATAATTTACTGACTGTTACAAGAATGCGACAGATTAAATCGAATGGAAAATGGAGTTTAATGAATATTTCAAATTTCTGATTGCATGGGCTTTAAGGTTAAGCTAAGCGAGTGTATTTTATTCTAGATCAAGATATACGTACAGAATACAATTCACAGTGACCTCCTGAAGAACCAGCCCAACACATAGAATATTCTACACACTGAATATCTGTACACAAACAATCAACAATAGACATACCTGAACTAGAGAAGTACTATATTTACCCATCCTAAGTCAGAAGCATTAATAATGTGTCAAATTCCAATTATTATCATCATTTGAGCAAATAATTACACACAAAAGTTCGTATGGGTCTTGGGGGGAAAAGGCAAAAAGGTTTCAGGTTCTGAAATGCATATAGGACTCAATCCATTTGCTTGAATATATAACAAAAGATTTTGACAAAAAAATATCCACAACATTATCCAAGAATCTTACTGGATTGTGCATCTCTTGACTTAGCCAAAAACTCTAAAGAATTGAATTTATGAAGACAGAGAAGTGGTGCAAAAGGAAAGACCTAGCTCCAGGCTGAACCGACACGTAGTAATAACATCAACACCTTTTTTAAATAAGAAGAAATAACATCACCTGTTAATTTTTTTTTCTTAAACATGGAGACTTGATGGTGATCAACAAGGCCATGATTAAGGTAAGCTCACCACATATCCAGATACGGCAAGGTAATAGATATTTTTTCTTCTGGTTGGCGACAATTTCACGCCGTGCAGTCATGATAAGAACAAGTTAGTAAGCACATAAATAAAAGCGCAACGTAAACCCAGCTGAATGTGACACAAGATTAAACTAGATACCTGAAAAAGAAGGATTATAATAACAAGACTCCTATAGCCATTGAACTGCTGTAATAAAATGGAACCCAGCTGCTAATAATGGGAGCCAACAACGATAGGATTAGTCCCAATGCCAGACACACAAGTCGCCATTGCCGAAGCCCTAAGAATCATTAAAACACCCCATTGTTTCAATTTTCACTCGGAAATCTAACATGTGGCACGGGATATAAGAAACCCGAAACTATCATGAAGAGGAAAGCAGGAAACTCACCTCTGAGCTCAATCTCGTCGTTGCCAGTTCAAAATGCCGACCAATTAATAAACAGAACATGAAAGAGCCCCATGGCTCTGGAGTGAAGTCCAGAGTCCTGGTTTCTTCTACGCGGAAATGGGAATGTGCAAGACATAACCGCGCTCTGTCGCTTCGATTTAAGCTCGAACGGTACGCTAACGGCTACCCTTCGCGCTAATACAACGCGCGCGCGCACAAGAAAAGAAAAGGTCTCCCCTTTCTTAAACCCCACCGACTTGAATGAAAAGCCCATTGGACCCAAATGACAACCTAGTAGCTCACGTGATCCACATATCCTAGCCTTATAATTCGAGCGAGTAAGACATAAGCGCGCTAAGCTTGAACCGTACGCTAAAGGCTAACCGTTGCGTTGATGAAACGCAAAACATTACGCTTGCGCAACAAAAAAAAAAGAACTCTCTTTTCTTAAATCCCACTGACTTGAACGAAAAGCCCATTGGACCCAAATGACAACCTAGTAGTTCACGTGATCCACATATCCTAGCCTTATAATTACTCGAGCGAGTAAGACATAAGCGCGCTAAGCTTGAACCGTACGCTAAAGGCTAACTGTTGCGTTGATGAAACGCAAAACATTACGCTTGCGCAAAAAAAGAGAAAGAACTCTCTTTTCTTAAATCCCACCGACTTGAACGAAAAGCCCATTGGACCCAAAAGATAACCAAAGAGCCTACATAGTCCACGTGCCTTGGCCTACGGACAACCCTACCATCATTTTTATTTTTTATTTTTTTTCACCAGCACCCTACCATCACTTTTATAATAGATATATATATATAATATAATTATAATTATTTGAATTATTTGAATGAAATTTTTGGAGGAAATTTGAATGAACTGAATTAAAACGAATAATATCCCATAATTTTAACTGAATAATGGTCCATAATTTCAAAAAATATATTTTATCATGTCTTAAAACATTTGTTATGTGATTTATCGATAAATATATCAATAATTTGATGGGAAAAAATTTAATGTGTTTAAAAATATATATAATATTTTATTATCATAAATTATATATCATTTATGTCTTCAATGAAGAATTTATAGTAAAAATGTAACTAATTGTAGGAAATTCTATTTTGAAAAGTAATTATTTGTTTCTTTTTATAAGAGACAGTTTTTGGGATGACTTGTTCGTGTTTATAGCAGAATCACATGGAGACTCCCTCCAATTTTTTCCTGCAAAAATCTCAATTTGCTTTTATTTAATTAATTATTTTAATATTAATGTATTTATTATCAAGGCAAATTATTCACGTGATGTCCTCTCTCTCCCCGTAAAAAATGTACTTTTAAAAAAGTTATATTTTTTTCACAGATCGATTATCTAACTAATTTTAAGCAAATTTTTTTTATCAAGGTGATGTGGGGAATTGTCTCTTATGAAAATAAGGAGAGGGAATACTATTTTATTATTTATTTCATCTTATACCACCTCCAATTCTAAATATAAAAGCTATTTCAATATCTAAATTGGTTATAAATATATGATACCAGTTCACTTTATCTTTCATAACTAATTTTTTCCTTCAAATAAGTTCTCACAGTGATTACATGTGTTAACCAGTTTTACTTTAATGCATATAGTTAATAAGAATATTTTTTTGAAAAAAAAAAGACAACTCATACTTTTTTATGAATAATAACTTATTTTCTTAATATTTACGAGTCATTTACGTGGCTATTAACTACCAGGGGTGGTATTGAATTTGCACGACATCAAAATAGAACAAAGATTAAATAACCACACAGGGTGACTTTAAAAAACGAACTCTATAATTACGAAGAATGCACGTTAAAACCATCAATTATACCTTTCGTCCTCCCAGATTCCTTGGGGTGTAAATTGCCGTCGTAGATATGTGCCCAAGAGATCATGACAATCACACTGTGAAGCAACCTTATTATATTTTGGCATGCTTGGGGCAAAAATTGCTTGAGAGATGAATACCTAATTAAAATAAAAGAACAGCTCATCTAGAATCCTTTAGAATAGGCACATTATAAGAGTACGCTAAGTTTATTTTTTAAAAAACAAGTAGTGAAAATATACAAAAAGAAAATGGTACCACCATAATTGTTTCTTCTGACCAAATTATCTGACCTGTCATAAGCTGTTTAATGAATTTTAGGCACGTGGCTTTTCTAGAAGATCATAAATTTAACAACCTTTAGTACCCATATGTAAATCCTAACTGTGAAAATATATTAGTTTCTTTAAATAAATAAGTAAATGCCGAGGCAGTGCCGGGGGGAAAAAAAAAAAAAAACTCAATTGCATATCCCGATGCTAATGCCGCGAAAATTTGAAGAAAGTGTATCTTCCGGCACAATTAATAGATCAACCCTGTCAGTGTTTAATTGCCGAATCAAATCGGTTATGAAGAATACTTCAAAAGGTCGACAAGGAATTATTCTTTTTCAACCCGAACCCCAAAAGAAATCTTGAAGCCGTCTTTAGTCCTTGTCTGCAAGTCTCCTTCTACTATTCTTTAAAAACAACTTGCAGAGCAACCCATCAGCCATGAAATTCCATTACATCAGACCTCAAGGAAAAACCTCGCTGTTATGGAAACCAGGTATCCCTCCATGGCTGGTCGTCGTTCTTACGAGGATTTTGATCCCCTCTGCAAATGGCGTAGAGAAGAAGGCCGTGACATCCTTGAAGTTCATCTTCCTGGTTTGTTCTATAATCCTATTATGATGGCTTTACTGCATACGTTCGTAATATTTTCTTTCGTCACTAGTCTTGCCACATCTGCTTAATTCTGCATACGGTACTTAATACAAGAGCTTAATAACTAATTTGAAAAGCTAGATAACTGATTTAAAGAGATTAAAAAAGTTAGTTAAGTTAATTATCCGTAACAAATGTATATTGACTTCCTAAAATTATCCTTATTCAATCACATACGTTGACACTACATCCAGAAATTCCTTACAATTAACAGAGATACTTTTTCAGAACGCACTATAAATTTGGAAGACAAAATAAATTAGAATCTTATATTTAGAACTATCAACTAGCTTTTAGAGTATATTTAGGATCAGAAGTGGTATAAGAATGAGTTTGCGTTTAATTTAGTCGTAACTATAATATCCAAATCAACTTTACCTCTTCTATTTATTTATTTTTTTAAGATAGTCTTTGTATTAGTTATACATGTTAAATGTTTCATCAAATGATAGTTATAACTAATATACATTATTAGCTAATATATTTTAAAAAAAACAATACATATTTATTATAAATAACCAACTTAACTAATTTTTTTAGTCAACTTAAATTAGTCATTTAGTTTTTTTATATCAGAGACCAAAGGAAATATTTATTATACCTCAATTGTTTAAATTGCTGGAACAATGCTCATCCCCTTGACGTAGAAGGGCCTGGTCGTCTTGAGTGAAAACGAAACTTAAAAGTGATTTTATGATGTATAAAGTAAGTATTAAACTTCTACTTTTTAGAACTGGTTTTGATGTAAACCAAACGCCCTTCTGATGGTACCTAATAGATCTGATATGAAAACGGTTCTGCGTAAATAAACCAAGGGAGGTCTGAATAACTATAAAATTATGCGCGGGTTGTACATCGTGCAGGATTCAGGAGAGAGCAAGTAAAAGTTCAGGTGAATCATCTGGGTTTTATAATAATAAGCGGCGAGCGAGCATTAATGGATGGAAGCAGATGGAGGCGTTTCAAGAAGGAAATTGAAATTCCATCTCACTGTAATGCAAACGCTATCAATGCCAGATTCATGCAGAGCATTCTCACGCTGGTGATGCCCAAGCAAGTTAATCCAGTTTCTCATACGGACCCACAAAGGCCAGCCCCAGAATACGAACGACCCCATAAGGAAAAAGATACTACTGCAGATCCAAGAATGGAATTTACAGGAAGGAACAGGACGAGAGAAGATACTAAAGTCCAATTCACACCCAGCAATGAGATAGTAAAACAAGACATGGACGAGTCAGAGAACGAATTTGAAGGAGAGACTGATGCAAAATTAACACCCGAATCAACCAGGGAAGTCGCTCTCAAAGTCTTTCTCGTCGTCATTCTCGTACTTCTCATCGCAAGTTATGTGACAGACATGTGCAAAAGCATGGTCGCCGATTCTTATTTTCTCAGTTAAGCCATATTCTCCATTGAAGTTGTGTAAATTAAATACATATATAATCACTACTGAACATCATGTATCCTATTTCTTTCAAGACACACCGACTTTAATCATGACTAGAAGTAGTAACATATAAAGAAATTACCATACCCCAAACCAACAATAATCAAATACGTTTAACTAGAACAAGTAGAACAATAAGGAAGAATATAATCAAAGTAATATAATTCCTGCAGAACGGAGCAAAACCTCCACGAATGAACTCAATCACGCGAAGACTAATGCAGCAACGGCAAGCATGGCTGCCATGAGAGGCCCAGAAGCAGACGATGACAGAGCGTGGGAGGAAGGAGGAGGAGAACCAGGAGCAGAATTTGGACCATTGGCTAGAACGGTGATGGCGAGCTTCATTCCACGAGCAGCACAGTGATCAGCTTTCCCACAAGCGTACCACTTCCTCCCTGAGCTGGTTAGCTGGACGACGTCGTTCCCACTGGTAAGTGCTTCCGTCCCAGCTGGGAATGTGCAACTGTTGAAGAGCGTACCGTTCAATTTGACTACATTGTGCTTCGTGTTGTCGTAATTGAACACTGCATGATAAAAAATAAACAGCCTCTTATCAGTTTTGAAGTCTCAGCGAGCGAACAAAATATTTTACGTAATGAGGACACAGTACGCGATGTCATTCGCACGTACCTAGGTTGTCACCGACTTGAAAAACCTTGTCCTGGGCCCATTCTGCGTAGTTGAAATCAGTGGTCCAGCCCTGGTCATCGCCCACGATGTGATCAACCGCCATGGCAACAGAAGAAAGCAGAACCGTGGAAATGGCGAGGAAGACGATGCGAGCACAAGCCATATTAATTTGATAGGACACTTAAAGCTCAGAAGGAAGATGCAACGAAATTATGAAGTAGATGAAGATAATCGCCTGATTGATGACCCACCAATCTGAGTAACACTCGATGGCGTTTATATAGGACTGGGATTGTGATGCATTGGTTTCATCGATCGCTAGGACTTAGGATGAGAAACCTTAAAATTAATAGGAAAGACGGCGACAGGCTGCAGGCGTTTCCGTCTTGGGCCAGCATTATATTGTGTTGAACGAAAATAAATAGTACTGTCATAATCAAAGCTCTGGACGGACGAGCACTGTGAATTGAATTAATATAATTTTTGTTTTGTTTTTCGTAAAACAGTGACTATAGTATATGCCGCAAAACCTGCATGGTCCATATGGAACACGCTCGTGCAAACTTGGAGTTTGATTGAGTGGAATAGAAGAAATGAGAGTAATTGCATGTGGGGAAGGAATGGGGAAGTTTTTTTATTACTATCTCCTTACTTAATATAAAAACTAAATAAAAATATTAAAAAAAATTAGTTATTTGTAACAAATATGTATTAAATAAATTAGTTATTTGTAACAAATGTATACTGACTTCCTTAAATTATTCTTAGTCAATCATGTATACATTAAAACTATACTTTGGTAAAAATACTTTACGATTAGTAGGGATATTTGTGACAATATATTATAAATTTGAGAGACGAAGTAAACTGTAGTCTTATATTTAAGACTATTAACTGACTTTTATATTTAAGATCGGAGGTAGTACTTGAGGTCCACTCTTTATTAATGGATTTTAATTACACTCCATCCAAGATTTGCCTATTGTAATTTGTTTTTTTGCATTTTTTATCTAAATTCTCGCAACAAAATAATTAACTGTTACAAAAAGCGTCTTTTAATAATTATATAACTGCGATGGGGAGAAAATTATATACCTGCATTTTAATATGACGAGGGGAGAGTATTGTTGTCAATAAATTTTATATACAACCGTTAGGATAAGAGATACGGCCGATGAGGTTCATCTTAAAAAATCATAAAATTTTATTTACTCTTAAAAGCCTCTAATAGTCCATAAATGAGTTTGAGTGCTCATTACATCTGGACATTTTAGATTTGTTTTTTAAACAATTATGTCATTGAGATTAAAATAAAAAATAGAGATAATTTTTAATCATTGTTTTTTAAATTATTAATTGAAAATTTGAAATATGAATTGTCCCAATTAGATTTGGATAGTCTGATAAATTTAGAGAGCTTATAACTCTAATAAGCACCCACGTTCCAATGACCAATGTGTGAAACAGTTATGCTTTTAGATCACATATTTGATACTTAAAAAAATTATAATAAAGTCTTAAAAAAATAATTACTATAAAATTTTAATGACAACTAAATAGTTTGTAATGACAAGTTTCAAAATAAAAAATAATAACTCCTCACTTATAATTATAACTTTTTTATAGTTATTTCTTTTGCACGAGATTTCATTACAATTCTTCTTAATACCCCCCGCAGCATTTATATACTATGTTACACAATATTCAAAGTATGATAATATTTTCACGATATTTTTAGGTTGTTTTAGTTATCAATATATCTATCCTTTTTTCAAAAAATTATTATATTTGAGTAATGTATAAAAATGTACTTTGGTTAAAAAAAATGTATAATAAAGGATCCTGATCACACCAATGAGGGCGAATAAAAATTTCAAGGAAGGTGGTTTAAAATCCCAATACAACTCAAATCATTTGCAAATGATCTTTACGTCTTAAGCAAATAATTCGAGCTTTAGTTAGGAGTGCCTAACTTGTCCTGTCTTGACCGTTTTATCTCGGTTTCAGTCCTGATCAATTTCGGGACAGAATGGGATAAGACAAAAAAAAAAAATTGAAATAGGCGAGACTGGACAAAACAGTGATCAGGATGGGATGAGATATAAGATGGAGTCATCCTATTGATTTTTTCAAAAATTATTTATTAATAATTTTTATTAAATTATTTTTTAAACATAATTATTTTTTATAGTGATTTTCAGCTCTTAAATTGTAATATTATCTTATCAGTAAAATAATTTATAAAGCAATTATATAGTATTTCTTTTATGATAATTCTTTTTTTTTTACAGTATTATTTTTACATCTTTTTTATATTATATAATTAGGCTTGTAGATAATTTTTTTTAGCATTTCTATCTTCAAAAGCTCAATAAAAAACAAATATCACAACATAAATAAAGATCTAAGCGTGAATTACATTGATTAAAAAAAAATAAACGAGATGTTCCTTTTCATCTCTGTCCCGATAAAACCAGGATAGTCTCGGGGAAGATAGCAATAGGCCTAGCTCTAGCTAACTCTGACGGTTATAAAAAATAATACTCCTCCGGTCCTTAATATAGGACCCAATTCTTGAGTTGATTTTAGTCATAAATATAAGACCCCATTCTCATATTTATCAATTTTCTCTAAATTACCCCTATGAATACTCCCTCAGCCATAATCAAATAAAAGATGAAGAGAGTATTAAGAAAGATGACTATGGTGTTTTAGGAAAAATGTGTCACTTTTTTTTATAATTAATTAACTTACCTAACTTCCTTAATCTAATCAAATTAGTTAAATGGATCTTATATTAAAGATCAGAGGAGTAATATTTTTAATCTGTCCACTGGGCAAGTACTAACTATTAAGGCTATTTTACCCTTTCTGTCTTTGGAAAAAAAAATCAATCGCGTCTCATTGATATTTTTTCTCACTACTTATTTTAATTTGCACAATGGGATGAGGGGGGAAGAATGGGATAAAAATAATAGATGTAAAGAGTGTTTGAATAGAAATCAAATTCTTATTGTAAAAATAATTTTACAGTACATGTAATAAGTATATGAGAAAAATTTTGTCTCAACTTACTTAAAAGTACTTTTAAAAACATCTTTTTTTCCCACAGAAGAAAAAATAAAATAATTTTTTAGCACCAAGAAAAAAACAAAATATTAACAACAGAATTTACACATCATTAGTGCCTTTTTTAATAAAATATTAATAATAGAATAATTCGTATGGGCCTTGATACTCAACTCGAGTTTTAACCTAGGGCCCAGAAACATGAACACAACGAGCCCCATTGATTTGGGCCTCCGAACCCTTCAATTTCATATTCGCAAAGGGCTGCCGCCAAACTAGTCGCGCGAGCGATCCGCGGATCTCTTCACTCTTCAGGCCTTCCACCCTTCATGCTCGCTGATGAAGACACTTAGATACCGGCGAAAAGGGTCGAGTTCATTGTAGTTTCTGCTTACAAGAGTATACTCCTCCAACCACAGCTTATTTTGTATTATTCTCTGATCTATTTTTTTTTTTTTTTCCCGTTTTCATCGTTTTCGCAAAATTATCTGTGATAGCCGGAAGGTTGTCGGCCCTTTCCTGTGGGCAGTTAGTCGTTGGTGAAGTTTGACTGTGGAACATGGGTGAGCTCTCCAACATCCTTTTTTTTTTTTGGAGTTAATCCAAGTTTTTTGAAGTTACCAACTGGCATTTGGAGAGATGGAATATATCTCAATTATATCTGAACTACATGCAGCGAATCAGATGAGTGAGAAGTCACGTCGAGAAAGGCGAAAAGAAGCCCGCCTGGCAAAGAAGGCGAATAAACATCAATCTTGGCTGGATGACCAGGTATAAATATGACCTTTTTTTATACGAGATTTCAAAGCTTGAGTATGAGGATGGTTTTCCACGAAATTGCTGTTTAGATGCCTCAGAAATAAAACAAATGTGAGTTTGTGAGGAAAAAAATTATATCCAATGCTCCTCGAAATCCAATTCACAAACCCTTTCAAACTGGTGGTTTGTAAGGATTGTGTTACTTGTATTTTTCATTTATTCTTCCATTCTCAATTTCGTTGAGATGATTAAAAATGGGGTATATTCCTCCTCACCCCCCCCCCCCCGGGGGTGTAACGCTGAACAATTCTCACATCACCTTGAGCTCTTCAAAACTCCCATACAAGTCCTTATTCTCTGTCTGTCATGCTTTGCCACCAAGTATTGAGAAGTTATTCCTTATTATCTGTCTGTCATGCTTGGCCACCAAGTATTGAGTAGCTATTTCTAAAATGTATAATTACTTTACTCTAATAGATATCTCGCGCAATGAAAAGAGTTAACCAGGATTCAGAGGCAAATACTACATGCAAATCAAATCATTTGCTCAGCCCTAGTGTAAAGGAAACAAAGGTTAACAAGTCAGAATCCAACTCTGGGAGACATAGTACAGCTGAGGATTGTGAAATGTCAATGGAAATTACTGAGTCAAAATCAATGATTTGTCATGGTTCTGTTGCAACAATAACGAAGAAAGGAAATAAAGGTTCGAAGGAAAATTCCAGGAACAAGTCCAGATGTTTCCCGGTTGGTGTGCCAGATGTTTCCATAGCTGCCAAGAAGGATCAAGATTTGGAAAGGAAACTAGCCAAAAAGCTCAAAGTGAAAGACGGAAAATTAAGGGTATGGATGATGGTCTCAATATATTACTTGATGGAATGCCATCTATTATTGATTTCATGGGCGAAGGGGAAGTACCTAGTGATGAATTACCCGCAAAAAATTGAAGAAGAGATCTTCACGTAATAAAACTGAGGATGACATATTGGCAAGGGAAGGGCCACAAGCAAGGTCAATACCTGAAATTTCAAGGCTTGCAGATACTTCTAACCAAGATTTTGGATCGACAGAATTTTCTGTTAGTGCGCCCTCAAGTAAGAAACATAAGAAAAGAAAATTGCTGGAACAACAGCAAGAAGGTAGTGATGTGAATGCTGCTGCCACATGCATATCCAAGCTTGCCAATTCCTGTGAAAAAGAGACGGCAAGAATGCATGTTCCTGCTCTGGTGCCAGAAAAAAGAACTAATGAAAAATACATAGCACCTCACTTGAGAGCACGTGCTGGAAATGAACCTGAAGAGCATACTCAGATCCGAAGGCGAATTCGAGGCAA